GTAGGACATATCTTATATAAATAGGTCGCTTAGGGGTACCTGAGTGGCCCAGTGTCTGCCTTTGGCTCAGGACATGATCCTGGGGTCCTGGGATCAAGTCCTGCATGGGGCTCCCTCCAGGGAGCCTGCCCTCTGCCTCTGTCTCTTCCTCTCTCTCTGTGTGTCTCATGAGTAAATTAATAAGATCTTTAAAAATAAATAAAAAATAAGTAAACGGGTCTTTAGAATCCTTATTTTTTTTCCTCTGATTCTTTTGCTTATTCACACTTATTTTCTTTGAGAATTAACTCAAATCCAATGCCTCACAAAGGCTTTTCTTTGATTTCCTCCACTCCATTCTAAACACCCTTCAATGTGTAAATGAAGCTCTGGCTCTGTTGTTTAGCCCCTTTGCAGAGTCAGATTTACAGAATTTTAGAGACAAAAAAAAAAAAGGCCTCTGCAACTATCCAGCTCCATGCCCTCATTTCCGGTTAAAGAAAATGAGCCCCAGCTACACAGCTGGTCAGTTTCTGAATCAGAATTATAACCCAGGGCAGTTTTCATTAGTTTTGGTTTTGTAGTTGCCTGTTTGGTGTATATGTTGGGTCACCCCAGCTAGAGGATTATTTTGGTCGGGGACTGAGGTTTTTGTTTGTTGTTGTTGTTGTTGTTGGGGTTTCTTTTGTTTGTCGTCGTCTGTCCCGTCCCCCACCCCCACCCCCTGCCAGAGATTCCTTCATGGTTCAGAGTAACTAGAATTCTTAGGAAACCAGCCTTTTGGGAGCAGCCACCAGTAGTAGGCAGCTATTCCTTGGTCTAGTGCTATCTTTAAAGTGTATTCAATTTTTATTTTAATTTCTGAAACATGCTTCTATATTCATCCATTAGTAGAACTGATCACTGTTATCTGTGGCTCAGGTTTCGTATTCTCATAGTTGTCCTGACATGGGGACAGAACTGAATACCTCTATACTATGAATGAAGCAAAATTGCATTTTCTGATTACTTGGAGTACTGCGACGAGGTGATGAGAAGCAAGGTCTATATCTTAGTGTTTAGTAGGCTCTCCTGAGTTTTCTCCAAATTGTGTAGAACAGAACTTAATTAGAACAGTATCCCCTACACCTAGCCGTATATGATGATAGAACTCCTCACATACCACCTGAAATGGGACCTCTGAGGTTGGGACCTATGCATTTTTTTATTTAATATTTTATTGATGAGATAGAAAGCATGAGGAGGAGCAGAGGGAGAGGGAGAAGTAGACTCTCTGCTGAGCAGAGAGCCAAAGGAACATGGGGCTCCATCCCAGGACCCTGAGATCATGACCTGAGCTGAAGGCAGACACTTAACCAACTGAGCCACTCAAGCACCAGGGACCTGTGTATCTTGATGTTTAAGGAGCTCAATAGTAGAGAACCACTGGCACAAAAGAACGGCATTACTGAGATGATGAAGGTCTCATTTTAAGGGAAAATTGTTAAGTTACAGAGGAGTGCTGGTTGGATGTATGTACAGAATTCTTGTGGAAAGGTACAGACTGACCTCCTGCATCACGAAGTTACTTGATTACCTATGGGATATATCTTGGGGGACCACGTACTAGTTGAATGGCAACTACAGACCTTCATAAACCCAGAAAGGAAGTGATTAAACCAGGACCGTGGTTGCTTCTGCAGTTCAGAAGTAACACTGTAAACCTACACTGATCATAGAAATGTGCTATTGGAAGCCGCCCGTTTGCCATCTGAATGAGTAGTGACTGACCCAAAATATTGAAAGTTGTAATAAAGTTGGTTCTGTGGCTGGACGTTGTGGTGGTCATCTTGCAATTGTCTATCGATTAACTCTTCCTCTGCCTCAGTACGTTTCTTCAGTGTTAGATGTAACTGCGTAGCATTTATGAGGCTGCCATATATGCATTGCATTAATAAATAGTACGGCTCTGTTAAAAAAAATAATTTATGTTTGTTACAAAGTTGTACAGGACTCAAGTGGTCACGGAGGTTTAGTTTATAGATGTGGAGTATTGGCAAAAGTCAACTTTATTTTTACACTTAGAACCTTTTCAGGGCCTTGCTTTGGGCTGGGTGCTGTAGAGTCATAGCAAAAAGCTGAGACCAACTTTTGGGCCAAGACAATTACCTTTCAAAGAAGGCAGAGTTGGATAGACTGATGATTGTGATTTGATAGTAATTACGTTTTACTTATTATTTCTTGAATATAATGGGACAGAGAATGATAGTTTTTCTTTTTTGACCCAAGGAGGACTCTCGGTCTAGAATTTCACAGATAAGGAAACTTAAAAAAAAGAAAAAGAAAAAGTGAAAACTGTGCCTTAAAGCAGAAGGAACTTTATATTCCCCTTACTAGTGGGTCACTACTAGACCCATGTGTATATGGACCACATGACGTTTTCATTTATTCAGTGGAGAGTCTAGAGGGCCTGTGTTGAGCACTTGAATATTGGACATGATTCAAATGTGAGTCAAGTGTGTCTAGAGGCTTTATTCATACCTATTTTCTTTTAGTCAGCAATGCTTCATAATGCCCTGGTTTCATGAATTAATTTTAATGGAATTAAACTTGAACAGCTCAAAATTATATAATTAATTTCATTCAGCTTCAATTAAAGTTACTAATTGAATCAAGCCTACTAGCATGACACCTGGCGGCAGTTAGCTACATAACAGTAGCAGCAAGTATGTAGGACTTTGCTGATGAGCTAGTTTATGTATACTAGTGAGTTTTTATAAAAAGCTCTTCTGTTGATAATCTCAGAAAGGCCTTGAGTTGACTGTAACAGTGGAAAGATTTCTGGAGTTGTTTAAAAAAGTAAAGATTTTAATTGAAACTAACACCTCTCAGGAAGATTACATTTTCTCTAGGATAATGCTGAGTAAATGTTACATAAATCTTCTAGAACATATTGGTTTAGCATGCTTCTGATTTATATTTTACTGCTATCTGAATATGGTTTTGCTTTCTGAAAATACTTAGCATTGAAGACTTTTTTTTTTTTTTTTATTCCAGGGATTTTAGCCTCTGGATTTAGTCCTAAGTGGGTGTCCATCTATTTTCATTTGTTGAAATGTGTTTCATGGCAGAACTTTTCAATTGTTGTGAAATCCCCATGGTACATGAGAAACTTTTGCATGTGCAGAAATTTTTTCCTTCCACTGGAAATGTTAACACAGTTGACTAACAACTTCTGTTTGAATCTCTTTCCTTTCCTTGCTTCCATGGCTTGACATCATCCAGCTTCTCGTCCTTCCCTGACTCCTTTCTAATTATACAGACCCTTCTTGGTACTCTTATTTTAATGCATTAACTCTTGATGAGCCCATTCACTTCAATGGCTTTAGCAGTCAAGTTTAGGAAGATCAGTGTTTCCAGCTATAATGTGATTTACTTATGATTTGCAAATTCAAATGTGCAGTATGAAATTCATCCACTAAACCATGAAGTCCATGAAGGCCTGAGCGACATCTCACAGTCTTTTGCATCCTCACTGCCTAGCACATAGTCTGAACATCTCCTATGTACAGATATATGTTTTTTAAAGTAATAAATTATCCTCCTCATCTCTAGGTTTTCCCAGTCAAATCCTTGACCAGGAGTGCTCCATCATCTCCAATTCCATCCTCCCTGATTATCTGTGCAGATCTCTGGCTATGTTATCACATCTACCTCCTTTTCCGTCTTGTCATTCAGTTGGTTGAACTCTAATTGAACTATTCTAAATCTCTCTTAGTTTCCCTTCTTCTCTTCTCCCTCTTAGGTACATCCATACTCTAGCGATTCTCAAGGACGTAAGTGTAGTAAAATTACTGAAGTGCACCACTGCCAAATTGAAATAGAATCTTTGGTGGGGCCCAGAGCCCAGGAATCTGCTTTTTTTTTTTTTAAAAAAAGCCCCCCAAGTGAGTTAAAACGCAGTCAGAAGTGAGACACTACTGTGTACAAATGTATTAATCTACCTAATACATGGTTCTGATAAGGCACTTCATAAAGCTTTAATGGCTATTTTGACTTACGTATCTTGCCTTTAAATTTGATCCAGACTTCTCACCCTCACCTTCACATTCAAATATCCATGCTGTGTCTCTAATCAGACCTTTCCAGTTCTATCATCTAATGTCCCCCTTAAAGTATTTCAAACTCCAGAGAGTTGGAACCTTTGGTTGTGGAGTTTGCCCATGCCATTCTCCTACCTGGGATGGCCTTTCGCCCATCTCTGCTTTCAGAATTCCTGCTAATGTTTTAAAGACCATCCAACATGCACCTCTTGCTCTACTGCTTTTCTTGAGCTCTGAATCTGGATGAGTTTCTTTGGCTTCCTTTGAACATCTTTAGTGCTCTGGACCTCTTAGAACATGGATTTTACCTTGTGTTGTAGTTAGCCTTTTGATTGAGTGATGATGTTCCTGATAAGATACTACTTTTCCTTCCTGGCCTTCCTCCTGAGAACCCATAAACCCGTGTATAAATCTCCCATCCTAAATATCCTTCCTTTCTGAAAATGCATGACACAGTCCTTGCCTCTTTTCCCAAATTTCCACAGAGAGAGCTCTGCACTCTCTGCTTTCTGTACTTGCTCACACTTCTCAGTGGCTCCTCATTCATCTGCTGGCTGACTTTTATCCCAGTCATTCCATGAGCTCTCTTCTTTGGCATGCTTTCCCTGCCACACCCGTCCCCTAAATGTATGGACTTACTTTCATCCTTTACATGTCCGTTCCACATATCTCTGTCATGGCAGACCACTTGTGTTACCATGACTTATTTATAATAATCTTAACAGGTTATTTTTACTGTGAATATATTTGTTTCTTTGATGCTCGTCACATGGTAGGTGCTTAATAAATCTATTACTGCTTCAGTAACCTATGCAACAGTCTCAATAGAGATGCTGCTTCCATTTTCTTAAATTATGGCAGACTTGGAAGCATTTGGAAGAAGTTTTAAAATAGAAAAATAGGTAACATTTAATAATATGTATCTTTTGTTTTATTTAGAAAAATGTGATAAAGAAAACGCTGAGAGAACTATAACTCAAGCTACCGATAGCTGCTTCTCACGTGGAGAGATGCAAGACCAGCCCGTTTGGGGAAATTGTTCAGATGACGAACTCATACAAAGTGAGTATCTTTGGAGAAAAATCAGAGTGATTTGGGTCTATGGCTGTGATAATATGCTTTCTGTTAATTATTCCATAATACTCTCTTGGAAATCTATAAATCAACAGAGTTTCTCTGAAAATATATTCATGAATATTTTAAAATGTAGGGCTGAAACTAAAATAGAAGTAATACTGTTTGTCCATTTTCATCCTTTAAAAAAAAAGGAAGAATTGACCTCTAAATTTTGGATTTAATTCTCATAGAGATAAAAATTTGTTTTTGAGCACTGACAAAGTATAATTCCAACAACTCTAAGTGGACTGTGAAACTAAAAAGATAAAGACAGAGAAAAAGGACAGTCAGTGATTCTTTGGTGATACCATTCCGGTTCCTGTTCTTATGGCCAAATGATTCTAAACCGGTTTTCTTTTGTTGTGTTGTTGTTGTTTATAATTAACATTTTTAGTACCACTTGGTTTCTTTTTATTCTCTTCCTCTTCCTGAAAGTGCTCTATAAAGTATATACAAAAGCTGTGTGATATTGTCATTTGACTGTGGGATTGCCTGGCAACAGCGGTATCTTTTGGGTGCTATTCAGACTGATTCTGTGTCGGGTTCTCCTGTGTAGACCTGGAGCTTTCCCCCGGTAGGCTCAAAAGTTGAATTTGCCATATAACGAATTATTCTCTCTAGTGAGCATGTAAGTATAAAGATTATTGCAGTGCTGATGGGGGAAGCTTGATCTTAGTTACAGAATTCATACCATTAAAGGGAAAGGATTTGAAATGAACTTTTCTCCCTGTTGTCTATACCGGTTACATGGACAGTGATTAAAAAAAAAATACCATAAGTTGCATGAAATAGTTTCTCTTTTGAGATAATGATGGTTCGGCCTGTACCAAGGGATGCTTGGTACAAGGGAGCATCCGGGAGCCACCATCTGGTTTTCCTAACACACGCTGAACAAATGCAGAGACAGAGCGCTATGGCCCCCTCTGAGAGGGCTGCTGGAAGACGGACAGCTGAAAGGATATCCAAGAGAAAGGCCAATGACAGAAATGCCACTCCTGGCCAAAACACTGTTGGCAAGAATTTCCAAATACTTGCGGGTGACTTCGGACTCTGAATTCTAATCACAGATTTCAGAAACTGTATTTTTATCCTCTATCTGGTCACACTTTTCTAGGCAAAGGCAACTTTGTTGGGTCTACAGAAAAATCTGATATCTGGGTTTGCCAAAACGGAACGTTTTATGTCATCTTTAAACTCGCCTCAAGTCTGGCTAGCACTTCAAAGTTTGACACTGTGATAGCTTCTGCTGTTCCAACTGCCTGACACTAAACTCCACAAGGCTGTCTGGATTTCCTCCTTTGGCCTTCCCTGTAGAGTAGGTGGTCATCTCTGTGTAATTCACTGTCTATCTCTCTTAACCCCACAGTGAGGGAGGCATGTGTTTTCCTCTCAGCATCCAGCACATTTAGGGGGGCCCAGTAAAAAACTTTTGTCCTAACAATAAGCCCTGGAAAGAAGGTCCTGGCTCATGGGGGCAGAGGGGAACATCTGCGGTGAGTCAGGCCCGGGCTGGCTCCCATTCCAGGAGTCCTGTGTGGCTCCCTGAGCACTGTGGAAGAGGCCGACAGCTGGCTCTCATGGAATTGATTTTAGTGTTCCCACTGTAGCGCGAGGTTGGCTGGATACAGGGATCATCAGAAAAATGAGGCCGGCTGGGGTGTGGGAACATTTTCAAATGCACAACCCACTCTTTTTCCAAGCTTCCATGGGACAGCTCAGCTGCATAAGCAAGCAGCAGAGGGGAGTGAGTCTGTTCAACAGGCCTTCTTTTGCTCTATCTATTCTTGAGAGTGGTTAGAAGGGCTGGCGGCTCACGGCTGCATTGTCCCGGATGGCTGCTGCTTTCTTTGTTGGACGTTTAAGGCGTAATTTATAGGGGGCTGTTAGCTGTCAGTGTGATGAGGCTGTTTTTACTTTTCTGAGAATAACTGAGCTCTGGAAAGTCAAGGGAGTGGTTGCTTTGGAAATTGTATTCTAATTAAAGGGTGTATTCTCAGGCCTCATAAACGAGATCCAAGCTGAGAATAATTTCCAAATTATTCTTTGAACTTTAACCCTGACCTCAGTGGACCACCCGCTTGTGGCTCACACTTGGTTCATGCTCCACACAGAAGTTTGAGCTTTGTGCATCTTCCCTGGTCCTTCTAGAAAACATTGCAGGTGGCAGACCTCAGGTACAGTGCTCTCAGGGCCTGGATTTCAAATTGGTTGCCCTTGAGTTGCTAACTTATTACAGAGAATCCTTTCTGGAAGTTATAAATAAAAGAGAAGGAATCCATATGGAATCAAACATTTCGAATAAATAGGCCACACACAATCTGGTCAGGGAATGTGCATTGTGATTCTCTTTCTTATGAAATTTAAATTAAAAAAAAATTCCAACTACTCAAGTTGGTTTAAAAAAAAAAACAGTAAAGAATTAAAAATGTAATGGAGGTTTTTGAGGAAATTTTATGATCAGAAGGTTTTATTTTTTCATCTTATGAATTTTCTTTTAAAAGTATGACTTTAAAAGGGATCCATATTCTGAGGAAATGTTTTGGTCTATAATTTCTGGAATGGGGCTTATATTTTAGAGTTTATGTCTTTTTATGAGAACACTAGTTCAGACTTTGGCTTTTCCCCTCAGATTATTGTATATAATTCAGTATATAATTTGGAGCTATGCCATGTTTTTATCATCACTGTTCCTCTGAATTGGTAAAATAAATGTGGCAGGGAAGTGACACCCTCAATTAATATTAATTTTTCTGTTTAACCCATAATATGCATAAACTGATAACAGGCAGTAGGCAACATTTCATGTTTTAATTAGACTAGAAAAGGAACAGAAGTAACATTTTGATCTTAGTCTTTGGGGGGATTTCTAAGGTTAGGTAGGAAGGAGTGTTGTGTGAGTGTGCCTGTGTTTATACTCAGATATGTGTAGTATTTTCCTTTAATTTAGGTCAAATTCTATTCTAATTATTTCCTAGAGAGAGAGAGAGCACGCTTCCATTTTTCTTTGTTCTTCTTTCTAAAGTGCCTCAGGTCTCTATTGCAGATTTTTCTAGGTCTTTCTGAAAATTCTTATTACTTAACTTTATCCTTGGACATTGCTTTTACAGAAACATCTCCTAATTCTAAATGTCATTACTTAACTCCAGAAATTTTCCTCAGCTCTTCTTCTGAAATAAATTTCCCATTAAATTAAACTATTTCGTTCAGCTAATTCTCTCCTTTGTGATTTTGCAGAATTCCCATGATCTGAAGCAAAGTCAGAATGCTCCACTTAAATGGTAATCCTCATTCTAGTTAACCCATTTATTCATTTTGAAGAGTTTTTAGCTCATAATAGTAAGCACTTAATTGGTAGTAGAATGCAAGCTGCTTCTCTAATTCACACTTGTCTCCTCTTTATGGGGCTAATTCATCCTGTGTTTTCACCAGTCCTGCTCTGGAAACCTTCCTCTTGGCATCCTTGGAGTTTCCCTTCAACACCACCAGGCTCGGTTCTGAGGAGCTCTGTTACTTCTTTGCCAAGACTTTGACAACTTACCTCTGATCACTCCTTAGAGAATATTACTTTATCACTTGAGGGAATGCTTCTTCTATGTCAGATATTTTTAAAAAGGCAGATATTCAGGCATACTGTTTATATACCAAAAACATTTCTTACTTGATGATAAGGAAAGAGCGTGAGAGATTTGGATTTAAATTTTACCAGCAGTTCTGATGTCTGAATGCACATTATAGTTCATATTATTAATGTTTACCTTTTAGAATTCACTTTATATAAAAGAGGACATAAACAAGCCCCCAAAATAAGTACCGCCCAGTAAGATTGGGGGAAATAGCTTTCGTGTTACATTTCTAAGGTGATCTGGAATTCTCTCTTAATATTGTGTGCTCATTAATCCTGGGATCCCATATTGGGAGTAAGTCTTTGTGACTTCATCTTGCTCAGTATCTTTCCTTCCATTTGTCTCTCAGAAAAACTCTCTTTTTAAAAAAAAATATGCTGACCAAATGGTTATGTAGCTGCAGTTGAGATGCTTTGGCTTATTGCTGTCAAGAAGAATCTTGAGCCATAAGTTATTCCAAAATCCAACTCGTGATTTGGTTTCAGGATTGGGTGGACAATCATAAGCTTTTTGTGATGGTTACCTGTGTTTATCTCATTGGTCAATGACCACCATTAGGCTACATTCTAGAATGCACCTCAAGTTTACTGACACACTTCTTCCTTAGAGTACATTATTCCAAGCTCATCTGGATTTTGATCAAGATGTAGAGAGAACCATTGCCCATGTTTTTGCTTTGGGCATCTTACAACTCAGGGTCCTGGATGCTGACTGCCAGGTTTGGATCCTGAGTACATGATTATTGCTGGTATTGGGTAAGTTACTTAAACTCTGATCAGATTTCTCATTTTTTTAAATGAAGGTGCTAATTCTGTATATCTGGTTGTGTTATTTTAAGGATTATATGAGAAAATGTATTTTGTGTGCTTAATTAGCAGAGAGCTATGTGTATAAATCTTGAATGAGTTTATTGGTTTTCATTATTACTATTCTCAGGCGCAAGTATCAGTTACAAAGCTTTGTTTTGTGTTTTAGGGTTTTCTTTTTTTTTCTTCTTTCTTTCTTTCTTTCTTTCTTTCTTTCTTTCTTTCTTTCTTTCTTTCTTTCTTTCTTTCTTTCTTTCTTCCTTCCTTCCTTCCTTCCTTCCTTCCTTCCTTCCTTCCTTCCTTTCTTCCTTTCTTTTTTCTTTTTCATCCATGATTCCAATGAGTTGCATGTCCAGACATACTGGGTGTATAGACCCATGTTTTCTTGAGATTGTTGATTTGTGTGTATGTCACAGCAGTAGGCAACACACTGGATGCTACATGGTTTATGCTCGATAAATGCATAAGAAGCACATAGAATTAATGAGGTCTTTTTTACCCATCTTGCTTGTATTAC